AATTTGCCATTTCAGACGACCATAACTGTACTACTGCTGGTGGCCATCTTGATCCTGACGGTAAATTATCATTTAGATATTTACGCGTTAGAAATTTAAATTTAACCTTCTTTTTCGTTTCAATTGTAGGTTTTGGCGTAGAGGGATATGTTTGCGATCCTAAACAAAAAGATAAATGCGAAGTTGGTGACTTGAGCGGTAAAAATTATAAAATTTGTTGTGCGGAATGTACCAATCCCGAATTAGCCGCGGTACTAACTAAAATCATCATTTTACAGGTAAATATGGTGCCTTGGAGCCGAAAAAAGATGGATATGTTTATGAAGATATCTATGATTATTTCCTAAAATGGGATGGCCCGGCTGGTATTACAGGTCGCTCGATTGTCATTCACTTATCCGACGTAAACAAAACCAGATACGATTGTGCCAATATCATCACTAAAAAATATAAACGATTTTAATTTTGTAATACATTGAGATAGGTTTCCTGATGAGTAGGGAAATTTGTACTGTAATATTAATAATAATAAACCACTGTGTAATAAAAACGATTTCAATACGAGTTGTTCATGTTTGTAACATCCCGAATATTATAAAGTTTTGAAAATGTAAATTTCATCAAAACAATTTAAAAATGTACTTTGTTGTTTAAGTTTCATTAAGTTAACTACCGTTGGCGTTGACTAAACCATCCCCATTCCAAAATACACGGTAATTTTTTTTTTTTTGATTGGATTTCTATTCAATCAAATTCCCGCGGACTCTTTTTTCAATATTTCTTCTGTGCCACCCAAAGATTTGTATTAGTAAAAGTATAATTTTAACGGAGCTTCGATTGGTCGTATATCGATAAAAATAACAAAAATGGCAATAAAAATAAAATTTTTGCTATGCTAGATGTCAGTAAAATTATAATAAAGTGAAATATAAACAATAGCGGATAAAGGGTGTGGTTTCTGATATTATACTTATATACGGAGTAATTTGCAACAGAAAAATTTAGTTATATTCGACATTTCGCGCCGAATAACTATTATATCGGGTAAATCCAATTTGATTCCCAATATTATTTATTAGCTACACCACCATTAGGTATCGATAGTTATTCGGCTCGAAGTGCCGGGTATTTCTAACGTAACCACAGTTACTATGAGTAATACATTGATTATGATAAAGTTACTATCATAATAATTCATAAATCCCAATATTATAAATAATCTAATTAATAAAAAAAAAAGTTTAATATATTTATACCTTTATTAGCATTAGATTTTAATTAATATATCAAAAGATTGTAATTAGTCCGGAGCGTAAGCGAAGGACTATATCCGGTGTCTGTTTGTCCGCCCTTTCGTTACACTTATGCTCCGGACTTAACAACGGTTTTCCGAAACCGTTCCGGAATGAAGCAAAGTGTCCCGCTCAATAATTGAGTCGATGCTGATTGGCTTTGGAATTGCACAAAAGTCTAGATAGAAATTATTGTTATATTAGTTAATTTTTATAAAATTTTTGTTTATTAGATGGTATTAAAATAAGAAAGTGAATGAGAATTAGAATTATAATAGTTAATAGTTTATTTAAACTAATTATTTCCTATATTATTTAATTCATTTTTATAAATATATTATTAGAAAGTATTGTTTATATTTTTAATTTGAAAATTTTATAGGTAAAACTTTGATTTTATTAATTAAATAATTATAAATAAGTAAAATTAAAAAAGTTAGGATTTAAAAAAAAAAGTTTTTTAAAAAAATTTTAATAAAACTTGAGAATTAAAAAAAAAAAAATTTTAAATTAACTTAAATATAAACCATTGACTAATAAACAGTTAAAATATATTTTCAATATGGTTCTATTACATAGAATAGAATTTTGTTTACAATTAATTGTATTTTCACTAAAAGAATGCAATATTATTTTCTTAGATTTGTAATTTTTTTAAATATAAATTAAAATTCAATAAAGTCACTTTTAGTATTGTATATATTAACAAACTTTTTTATAGTTTTAATGATTTAATTTCAAATATACTTAATTTTAAATTCTAACAATTTGCAATTATAATTAGTAATCTATTAAAATCTCTCTTATTACTAATAATAAAACTTTATTTAAATCATATTTTTAGTTGTATAATGATTCACTTATTGCTAACTATTAAAACTAAATATATTTGATTACTTTATATTTCATCTTTTATTTGTTAAATAGAATATTATTAGTATCAAGTAACTTTTAAATTAAAAGAAGGAATTATAATATTGCAAATACTTATTTTATTATATAAAAATTATTAATAATTAAGAATATGATTATTATATGATTAAATATTTTGATATTAATTTAAAAATATATAAATTTAAAAATCAGCTATTCTTTAAAATAATTTTTAGCTTTATAATTAATTACTAAAATTTAATTTATTTATATTTTTAAAAAAAAATTTTAAACTTTAATTTTATCTTATAAGAATATATTATTTTTTTCTTTATATAAAAAATAAAAAAAATTATTAGATTACTCTTTAAACACTTTTTGATAATAATTATTATAATAAGCTATATTTAAATTTTTTTTTAAAAGATATTTAAAATTTTAAAGTTTAAAAAAAATATAATTGGATTTTAAGTTTTAAAAAAAATAGTTAATAATCAAAAAATAAAAAAATTTTTAACTTTAATTTTCATTCAATATATATTCTTAAACTTATTGAAATTTTAAATAGTATTTTAAAGTAATTAAAAATTATTTATTAATTTAAAAATTAATATAATGATAACTTAAAAATATAAATATTTTTTAAAATAGTATTACTAAACTTTGAATTAGATTAGATTGATCTGTTATCTGATTAATTAACTAGAAAATTCAGGTCAGGTTATTATATTTTCAAGTTGATATCATATCAGGTTAGATTTATAATCTGACCTAATAAAATTTATATCAACTAATTAATTATATTATAGATAAAGAATATTTAAATAATTTTATATCATTTATTTTAAATAATTTTATTTGTTTATTTTGAATAAATTCATTCATTTATTTTAAATGATTTTTTATAATTTTCTTAAATGATTTTTTATTATTTTTTTTAAAAAATTTATTATCATTTAATTAGATTGATTTTACTAGTCTAATCTCTATTTAATATTATTTAACTGGTAAATCAGAAAAATTTTTTTTAGATCAAGTCAGTTAACTAATTAAATTACATATATTAAAATTTATCATTTATACATTTATTTAAAAAATATAAAAATCAAAAAATAAGAGATAAAAAAAGCAAAAAAAAAATAACAAAATAAAAATTAAAGTTTAAATCAGATCAGATATAATATATCATTTTTTTTAAAAATAATTGATTATGTTAAATCAGAATAGGTTAGATTAGATCAGGTCAAATAAAAGTTAGATCAGGTCAGATTTTTATTTATCTTGATTTAATCCTTTCAGTTTAGATAACTTGATTAACCTAACTTAAATGGATTTGTTCAGAGCTTTAAGTATTATAAATTACAATTAATTAAGGATTATCAATTAAAGTTTATAATCTATATCTATATATATAATAAAAAAATTTGTATGTGACTGTTACGTTTAGATTATATGTATAAATAATGATTGAATTATTATGTAACATGATATGAATTTCAAAAAAAGGTAAAATTGTCTTCTGATAAAAATCGAATTTGTAAATTTGTAACATGTCA